AGTTTGAGAACTTGGGCATGTGTATCAGTTAGGAGTCATTATTTTGGGGAAAAATAAAAAAGAATAGTTTTGACTAATATAAGCAAATAAAGGCAGAATTTATTTGAAAACATGGGGTAGCTCACTGAATGAAACAAAAACCATGTTTTTGATTAATGTGTGACAAAATATTTATTTTGAACATTTAGCCTCTGCCAAAAATATTAACAAAAACAAAGGAAACATGTATTTGTGTGTGTGTGTGTGTGTATCTATTTTTAAATTTATTTTAGGGCTACCTTTGAACATTCATTAAAGTACACAAAAATTTACTGAAAGTTTCTTTTTTTATTTCAATCACAATGTTTTATGATTCTTTTTAAAATTTTTTATTGTTATGTTAATCACCATACATTACATCATTAGTTTTTGATGTAGTGTTCCATGATTCATTGTTTGTGTATAACACCCAGTGCTCCATGCAGAGCGTGCCCTCTTTAATACCCATCACCAGGCTAACCCATCCTCCCACCACCCCTCCCCTCTAGAACTCTCAGTTTGTTTTTCAGAGTCCATCGTCTCTCATGGTTTGTCTCCCCCTACTGAAAGTGTTTCTGAAGACTTTTCTATAAAAAGATTTCAAACAAATTAACATAAATTTATTTTTAAAAATTTCTTTTAAATATAAATATTAACTCAGTTTATTCTGTCATAGGGATATGGGAGACAATATGACATCTGTCACAGAGTTCACCCTACTGGGATTCCCCCTTGGCCTGAGGATTCAGATTCTTCTCTTTGGGCTCTTCTCTCTGTTCTATGCCTGCACCCTGCTGGGGAACGGGCTCATCTTGGGGCTTATCTGGCTGGACTTCCGACTGCATACCCCCATGTACTTCTTCCTCTCCCACCTGGCCATCGTTGACATAGCCTATGCCTGCAACACTGTGCCCCAGATGTTGGTGAACCTCCTGAAGCCAGACAAGCCCATCTCCTTTGCTGGCTGCTTGACACAGACCTTTCTCTTTTTGACATTTGCTGTCACAGAATGTCTTCTCCTAGTTGTGATGTCTTATGATCGGTATGTGGCCATCTGCCACCCACTCCGATATCCTGCCATTATGAACTGGAGAGTCTGCATCACCCTGGTGCTGACTTCTTGGACTATTGGAGTCCTTCTGTCTTTGATTGATCTCATGTTACTTCTACCCTTACCATTCTGTAGATTCCAGAAAATCAATCACTTTTTCTGTGAAATCATGGCTGTTCTCAAACTTGCCTGTGTAGATACACACATCAATGAGATTGTGGTATTGGCTGGAGCAATTTCTGTGCTGGTGGGACCCCTCTCCTCAATTGTAATCTCATATATGTGCATCCTCTGTGCCATCCTTAGAATCCAGTCTGGGGAAGGTCAAAGAAAAGCCTTCTCCACCTGTTCATCCCATCTCTGTGTGGTTGGACTCTTTTATGGCACAGCCATTATAATGTATGTTGGGCCCAGATATGGGAACCGCAAGGAGCAGAAGAAATATCTCCTCCTGTTTCACAGCATTTTCAATCCCATGCTCAACCCTCTTATCTATAGTCTCAGGAACTTAGAAGTGAACAACGCCTTGAAGAGAGTGCTGGGAATAGAGAGAGACTTATGAAAAGATTATGGCATCCGGGTTGACAATAACCTAAGAAGATACTATCTCAAGAGGTTCCACCCCCAACTTAGCATGAGAATTATCTGAGACAATATAAATAAGATGAAAACAGGGAGGCAAACCATAAGAAACTCTTAACTCTAGGAAACAAACTAAGGGTTGCTGGAGGGGAGGTGGGTGGGGAAATGGGGCAACTGGGCGATGGGCATTAAGGAGGGCACTTGATGTAATGAGCACTGGGTGGTATATGCAACTGACAAATCACTAATTCTACCCCTGAAACTAATAATACACTATATGTTAACTAAATTGAATTTCAATAAAAAAATTTTAAAAATAGAGCCATCTTCTGAACCACCACTTAGATGACTAATTCAATAGATGTGGGATGTATCCGAGAGATCTATATCTTCAAATATTACCAAATTGTGATGCAGCTGGTCCATGAACCAGGATTTGGAAGCTGTAGATCTAGAACAATACCCTTTATAATATCTTCTTCAAGCTATGGTCTAGCCTCATGCCTCCCAAAATGTTTTTCTCAAAACACTAGCTTCTCAAAGGCTTTAAAAATAAATTCTATGGTAAAGGGAGTTTGAAAATTATTGCATATTAGATGCCTTACTTTAGAGCTCACAATTCATATTAGCATAGTGAAAACTAAAAATTTCTATGGTGAAGAAGATTTTTATTCCAATTTTTAACCAATGTTTTCCAAATTTATTTGATCACATGAAAATTTTTTTTCATAACACTTACTAACAGTTTCCTGGGACAGAAAATCTTGATCTTGATTGACTCATTGTGAACACTTCCTGTTACCACCTTCTAGAGCAAAATTATTTCTTTCCTGCAAGGTGAGCCTCTAAAGAGGATGTAGGTCTAAGCACAGTACCCTGAATCAGCCTGTGAGACTGTGTACTCTCTTTGGGTAAAGAAAGTGAGGGTCAGTGTCTCTCATCACTGCTAGGTCATCTGGAGATAATGAATCCAATCCTCTGCTTCACCTTGGGTCAGCATTCCTAGTTACATTTCATGGGCTAAATTCATTCAATTTCACAATCTTCTATATCTGAGATTTAAAAATGTATACATGTCCCTGTTTACCCGTTACACTCAATCTATTTTTTCTCTCCTCGATTTGAAAGATAAAACCAAGTTTCTCACAGAAATCTGAGAGGATTTGCAAAAGCCATCACCTACATAGTGTATAAGCTTTAGAAAGAGTTCTCCACTGTTGTGTTTAGAAAATAGAGATAGGGGAGAAGTTCTGTAAGAGAATGGTCACAGGAAAGTACACAGTGAATGATGGATAAAAAGGAAATGAATAAAGGATAGAATGCCCAAGGGGCTAGTTGATCCTTTGAAGATTAAAAAGGAAACAAAATAGGGAAAGTGCATGATTTATTATATGTTGGTTATTCCTGAAATGAACAAATCTCAAACGACAGCTCCACCCAGGAATTTCCTGATACTCTATATAGAATGCCATGTGGACTACAGCAATCTCAAAAGAAAAAGGGTTAAGTGAGCACTAAGGAACATATGGGTAGTCCTCAGTGGCTCAATGGACCCTAGAAAAAGGGAAAAAAGGAAAGTCAAATCAACTTCTCTTAAAAAAAAAAAACAAAAAAAACCTTAGGGGCTTAAGTCTTGGTCATTAGTTTGGTAGGTCCATAAACTAGTTTTCTATCTATTAACCTGGAATTGACCAGAATGGTCAGAACTTAGTGACATTCACAAAACTCACAAGATAATCATGGTTAACCCAGATGCCAATTTCAGTCTTTATAATGAAGGATGTTTCTCCCCAGGGAAAGGAGTGCCTGTGTCCATTATTCAAGATAGCCCAGTTCTCTTTTCAAAAATCTGAGAAATGAATAAAAAAAATATGACTCAAAGAGCCTAGAATCAGAGCAAATGAAATTGAATAATATAGAAGGGTATTTCTTTAAAACTGCAGAAAAATTCCCCCCGGTAGGTCACAATTCTCATAAGGAACCTAGATGTCTATAACTGAAGTTTCTATACCTTGGATATACATAATAACAAACACAATAAAAATAAACTTTAACAAATTCTGCCTCTTTGTTTCCCCAGTTTTCAAGATTCCAAGTGAAACATTGAAAATAACAATTGTTATTTTCCATCAATTATATGTGCTATGACTTTCTGAAGATATGTTCATCCTTGACTCAGATACTTATTTCATCAATCAAAAGACAACATTTTGCAAACCAATTACTGAGGTAACTTACTTTGGGAAGTGTTTAAATGATCAGTGTATTGATTTTTATTCTACTTCCAAATGGAAATTATGTCCAAAGTCTGGTGGACCGTGCTATAATCACAAGCTATAAACTCAGGCTGAATTAAGATCAATGTTTATAGAAAATGCCCAATGTGGACAGATAATGTAAATATTTGAGAATATATGCATTGCATTTAAGAGTTAACTATGTGTTATTTTCCTTTCTATACCGTTATGTTTTATATGTGTTTATGTTTTACTCTGACCACTTTTTTTTTTTTAAAGTAAGCTCTATACCCAACATGGGGCTTGAACTCATGACCCCAAAATTGAGACTCGCATGCTCTACAGACTGAGCCAGCCAGGTGCCCCTACTCTGACCACGTTTAGAAGTTGTCCACAAGTTAAAGCAATGCTACCTTGATATGCAAAGGAAAACATGTAATTTTGAGATGATGCGTTTCCCAAAGTTAAAGTTTGTTATCATAAATATTTATATTTAATTTTCTTATTATCTTAGTTCAAAGTTTTTACTTTTTTGTAACAGATGGTCATACAGCAGATAAACTAGAGAACTATATCCTATTGTCTTCAAGATTTCAGTATGCTATTTTTTATATGTCAGTTTCTAGATTTCCACATTTTCTGCAAGTCACCTGAAACAAAAAAGAAGGTCCCAATATTTATGGATTGCCTAGTGTGCACCAGGATTTTCACGTGATTAAGAGCCATTTTTGGTGTCCCTGGTTGTGTGTTTCTTCCCATAGTCGATATGTTCTCCAAACTCGATAATTGTGACCAGTTTTCCCCAAGTTTTCATGATAACCCCAGCAAGACACTGTAATGAGCTCATTAGTTTGTAAATCGCATGATTGACTGATAAGAGATTTCCCAAATAACCTTTTGGCCTCCTTACATCTAGTATAAGAAAACAGTGGAATATAAAGAAATATGACAACATCATAGGTAGAAAACATTCTCCCAATCCCAGAAGAGGCAGGAAGCTTCGAGGGGAAGCTGTCTTAGAGAGGGTTCTCTCCTCCCCTGCCCCGAGGAACTGGATCTGGAATCTCCTCACTTCAGAACAGAGATTAGAGAATACTTCC